ATATATATATATATATATATATATATATATATATATATATACACACACATATATACACACACACACACACACACACACACACACACACACTCAAGAGTATACTATAAATGCAGTCAAAATGATTCTACAAGATTACACTGCAAATCCATTCTAGATAACACTGCAATTTCAGTCAATATTTCAATATTCCATAAATTCAGTCAAGATTATTCTGCAAGTCCAAATATGATTATGCCACAAGTCCAATCAAGATCACTCGGCAAGGTCCACTCAAGAATCCTGCAGTGAAGGTTCTATCTTTTGTTTCCCCCCCAAATTATTCCTCAAATACATTCAAGACCATACTGGAAATCCAGTCAAACCCCGTTATGATTATTAGCAGTCCAGTAAAGATTATTCTGCCATTCAAGTCAAGATTATTCCACAAATCCAATCAAGATTATCCTGTAAGTCCAGTTGAGATACTCTGCAAGTCCATTTAAGAGTATACTATAAATGCAGTCAAGATTATTCCGCAAGTCTAATCAAGATTGTTGCAAATTCAGACAAAATTATACTGCAAATCTAGTCTATGCGATTTCAGTCAAGAATATCCAATAAATGCAATCTAGATTATTCCAGTACAATATTATCCTACAAGTCCTTTCAAGATCTTTCAGAAAATCCAACCAAGATTATACCACAAATCCAATCTAGAAAATCCAATCAAGCTTTTCTGCAAATCCAGTCAAGATTTTTCAGCAATTTCAGTTGAGAGCGTATTCCACAAGAGCATTCTAGATTAGTCCACAAATCCATTTAAGAGAACTCCTTACTCCAAAAGTGAGTCCATTCTAGATTATACTGCAAGTCTGTATATTCTGGGTCTAAATTCACTGTAACACATTCAGGGATTCAGTGGATTATTGCTCTAATTTCCATAAACTGGATGCCTGAAAATCTTCATAGACAAATGGCAACATGGTTATAAAAATCAATGTCAAGCTGTTAATGTAAGGAAGCATTTTGCTGGGAAGTCACAGCTGACACAGTTCCTAGACAGAAAGGAGGGCCGAAGGGTGGGTGTGTGTGTGTGTGTGTGTGTGTGTGTGAGTGTGTGTATGATGTGTGCACGCACGCACATGCATGTACGTTTAGGGTCAACATGTATGTGTCCGTGTGGTTGGTTCTTACTTGTGTACGCACTTAGGAGGTGTGCTCGTGTGTGTGTGTGTGTGTGTGTGTGTGTGTGTGTACTTGTCTTACTACCACTGTGAAAACCAAATGTCCCCACAATGATAGGACAACATTACATTGTGTGCAAGTGAGGGTCTTTTTGCTGTTTTCACCATAAATTCAGCTCAAAGTAAATTCAGAGCTTGCAAACTAAGATTTGTAAGTTAGGGTTATGTTTAGATGTAGGTGTCGAGCTACTTGGCTACAGTGGTACAAAAATCAACAAAAAACAACAGAAGTCCTCACAAGAAATAGACAAGACAGATGTGTGTATGCGCATGTGTGTATGCAGGCTTAAGGTCAACGTGCATATGCAGTTATTTGTGTGTGACCAGCTCTTTCATGTCCTTGGGTGTGTGTGCATCGGATGTAAATTTTTGCGTGCGCATCGCTGCCCTCCTTAATCTGGGTGAGTGGCTACACCGGCTCCGTGATGCATCATGACATTTGGTGGTACTCTGGTCATTTTAGACACACACACACACACACACACACACACACACACACACACACACACACACACACATTCCCATCAATCCGCCGGACTACAGGGAGCAGTGACCGAGAGTGAATGTAGGTCAGAGCTGGAGAATGTTCCCGCACTTTCAGCCAAGATAAGCCCCCCAACCACCACTACAATTACTGAAGGGGGGGCAGTTATAGCTTGGGGTGGGCTTGGGGGGGGGGTGACATAACCAACATGACAAGAGTCTTAAAACCTTTCGACCAGTAATAGGATGAGTTTCTCTCTCTGCTGCTGTGGGTTAGTTCCATTAGGACTGTAACACAACACCACCATCTATATCTGTATCTGTGTCTATTGAGTGTTCAAAATATCTTTCTTTAGGGCTCAAATTTGTATGTGTATCTAATATTTGCATCTAGTGGTCTGTGGCTGTATTCGGATATCTGTGTATCTCTGTATCTGGATTACCAAAAAGTTCACCCTCTAAAACAACAGCAAATGTGTCACGGTAAGCTGGTGAGCTCACAGAATGAAGATGACTATAAATTTTACACATTTTCAGTGCAAACTGCATTTGCAGAAGTTTCATTTTCTACTTGCTGCCAGACTTTTACTACATTTTTCCCAGAGACTAACTCATTAAACCATCTCAGGCTAGTAAAGTAAATAACCTGGCTGCCTTAAAACTTTGAACTCATAGAACGTCAAACAGTAAGTAAACAGAACAGTAATTAGGGTGCTACATTCTGTTTAGGGGCCAACATAAACATTTTTCTTGCATTTTCTTCTGATGTTTATTTTATGTACCAAGAACAGTCATGTATTCAAATTTGGCCCTTTCATTTTTACATGGCCATTTTCCAACCTCTCTTTCTCCCTTAGTAGCTGTTTGTGTCACTGTGCCTCAAAGATTAATATATGTAAATGACCTCTGTTTGGCCGCCCTGTTCTGGGTCTCATTCAGGATGAAACACTTCCTATATCTTCAATGTGAAAGGGTGGGGCTAAACTAATGTAGGCTAATTAGGCAGAGTTATGTATATGAACTGGTTTTCATGACATCACAAAATCAGTGATCGCAAAATGGTTTCTGTTGATACAGGCCATTTAACTTTTTTGAAGTTGAATAAAATCTACATTTTAAGGCAGCGAGTTACTTACTTCAGTACGTCAAAACATAAAATACCTTCTCCAGTGCAAAATCAAGGCAACACATAACTATTTTCACAGGCTATAGACTTAGCAGTAGCACAGAATAACTGTCACACCCACACATTACAAAGCCTGTGGACAACATACAGACACATACATACATACATGAAGCGCGTCGTTAGCACTCTGTCCAATACAGTAGAGCACAGTGTGAGGTAAGTGATTCACATGTTTGCTCTGCATACTGCATTTAATTCTCTCTCTCCAAATTCTCACTTCAGAATACATGATGATCCATGAAGGCAGCAAACGCTTCCAGGAGTCCTCAAATGAACCCGATCAACTGGCTCCAAATTGGATTTTTCACCTCATATCCAGACCTAACCATCCATTTACAGCCAAACAGTGCGGTACAGTAATAAACGTAACCAAAAACACTCTAGAACATTTTATTTTGATGGTCCACTGTAGACGCTCAGCTTGTTTTTAACTGATTCAACTACATATCCATTAATCCTTGTCGCAGTTAGCGCCAGAGCTAATAAAAGCATGCTGCAATTCTATACACGATTTCTCACTCAGTTTATTGAAACAAGTGGAGACTATCATAATTTAAATTGAATGAAAATGTGTTGTTTTGTCTACATTTTGTGTGAAGATATTCTTTACATGTTTGCCATATTTGTCAATTTCTGACATTGCGAGAACTGAAAGTCAGAAGTGCAGACTCAGACCTGTAAATGCTATTTTCACCGCATAATTTAGGTAACTACTCTTGTGATTCTGTAAAATAGAATAAAAAAATGACAGTAAGTCTATAAACTTACTCTATAAACTCTATAACTCTAAACTTCTAGGACTTAAGCCAAACTCTAAACCCCAATGCGTTTGACAATCGACTGAATTTCACCAGTTTGCTAATAATGTGAGCATCTGAAGATAAGAGACCATAAAAATAAAATGTGAGCAGATACTCCTACAAAATCACCTGCAAAAAAAATAAATAAACAAATAAATAAATAAATAAATAAATGTCTGGTATAATTGCTCTGGCACAGTTCCCCTTTTACGTGTTTCTGAAGGCCGGACTGCGCCTGATTCCTTTGTAAAGTTAAATGAAAGAGCCATTATGACAGTTTAAATCCACAATTTCCAACTCCACAAACTCTTTCCCCGCAGTAATGAAGTCTTCCAAACAGTCGGGAAGTCTGAGCTCATGCACAGCAGTGGGAAAAATGCCCCAAACTCCCAGCGAGCAGAAAACGCCACAGTCCTTCGAGTTTGTGCAGGTAATGAGACATCACACCGCAGTTAAGCATGACTAATGCCAGCGTGGAAGTGGAGCTTAAACTCGCAAATTTAACTCAGCTTTTTAATGATGTTGGGAGGTAATGTGGCATGAGTTTGTTCTCTTACGACATTAAAAGACTTCCTTTAAAAAAGAAAGGGATAAATGTGAAACATAGGAAAGCACAGATGTGATCGAGGATGGGGTGTGTTTTCTCTGCTTTGTGGAAAAAGTGGTGGTGACACATCGACAGTGTTGGGTAGATTATTTAAGAAATGTAATCTGATTATAAATTACAGACTGTAATTTATACAGACTGGTTAAAAAAGTGTAATATAATCTGATTACTTTTAAATTGCTAAATTGTTGTTTGTTTAAAGTTTGAACAATCTAAAGATACAGTCCTGCTATCTTTCTCCCATAAAACCACACCTAACTATTGTTTGTCATAGTGACATAGCTATCCTGCAACTCATGGATAAACTCAATAAGCAACAGTATAGTAATCCTTAAAGAGCAACGACAACAACTAGACTAGACTAGGATGTTGGCAAAGGCAATAGCAAAGTAAAGTTATCTTCAATCATTAGGTATTAGCAACCTAGCTAATGTAACCCAATGAAAGGTGTGTCAAGTTTATGCCAACATAAACGGCTTCTGAATCTAAAACACATGATAAAGTGTCTGATCATATTTCTGACACATTCATTACTGTTTCTCCTTAAACACATAACTGGCTCCTGATTACACTTCGGTTTCCTACTCTGATTGCTTGTATTTGATAGTCTAAATCAGATTATGTAATCCAGATTACAGTAGTAGATGTAGTTCATTACTATCCAACACTGCACACACTGATGAAATTCTGTATTTACTCACTAGAGGAGTGCAGGGCGTCCAGTATTCGGGGTTGAGGTCAGTTCGTGAGCGCAGGTCCAGATAGTCGGGGTTCAGTTCGGTTCGGGCGCGCGTTAGGGTTCCCTTAAAATCCAAAACAAATCGGGGTTACAACTTCTCAGTGCAGGTTTGAGCACCTTCATCCATTACAAACTGCTGAAAGACCTTTATTTTAAAATTGTGCATCATATCTTAAACTCATTAATATTCCCAATGAGATTCCTGATGTTCCTGCAGTAAAATATCAGCATCAGTCTGTTGAAACCACAAACAATTTTTCAAAAACAATACATTCGGTGGTCCTGTTGAGGTGCATTTTGCAACAATGGAAAGAAACTTTACAAAGCCTTAAAAAAGAAACTATTTTTTATGTAAATATTTGGAAAAAAGTAGGGAATAATTCATATTTAGAGCTATCTACAAAAAAAAAGTTTACATTTAAAAATCATTTTAAATGCAAATTTAAACAGTAACTGCTATGTTCTCTGACATGGCTGCATTTACTTCAAGGTAACATTTCAGCAAATTCTCACAACATAAAATTAATTATATGATACTGAATTAAAAAAATATATATCTTCACACTGACAGATGTGGATCATATTCTTGGACGGATGAAAAATGTAAAATATCTGCTTTTATGAGGGAAATTATCTGGTGCAGAAAAGTATATCATCCACAAGCAGCAGTATGCCAAAACCAATACCACACCAACGCTCACCATGAGAGAGTGTGAGCAAACACAAGCTTTTTGGTTCATTTAATCTCTTTTCTTCATTGTTAACCCTTTCATTATTTTGTTGCCCTGAGGCAACAGTGCAATAGAGGGTTAAGTTTGTGCTATTTGAAGTGCCTTGACCTGGATTTCCATGTATTAATATATATGCTATAATAATAATAATAATAATAATAATAATAATAATAATAAATACCACCACTATTATCAGTAGTAGTAGTAGTATTAGTAGTAGAATTCTAAGAACAATAATGGTAATAATTCTTCTCTTTATTATTATTATTTTTTTAAATATTATTACTGTGGACAGAAACAGCAGTGATGGCTTTTTCAGAACTAAATTTTACACTTATTAGAATTAGACTATAAACGAGCCACATCATTGAAATTACACCTCCTAAACTGGGCGTGTAATAAAACGTCCTTAATAATCTACAACAAAGTGTAAAAATGATAGGACGTTGCATTTGGTGGCTCAGAATTATGCACAGCTCTATTATAAGCACAGTAATATTTGAAAAATTAAAGAGAAGAATAATGACCATTATTGTTTTTATACTTTTACTACTAATTATTATATATATATATATATATATATATATATATATATATATATATATATATATATATATATATATATATATATATATATATATATATATATATATAAATATATATATATATATAGGACTTTTTCACACATGAAAATGGTCATGTTGGACTATGTCCTGTAATTGCAGAACTACAAAGTGCACCTATATAGTAAGTGGACCTGAGCGTAGATACAAAGAGGTGTATGAGGTGATGAAGTGGCCATTTGGTGTGTATATAAAATAACCATTTTAGATGCTTAAGAAAACCCATTTTTATTTATTGTATGCAACTAGAATGTACTATTGTATAACTGGAAATTAGAACCATATTTAACAAGTGAAGCAAAGGTAAAATATTTCTATAGTGAGCAAACTGAGCTATAAATTAAACTATAAATTTATAAATAGTTAAAAAAAAGAACCCAGAAATATCTAGATAAACAAATGGTTTACACCTCATTTCTCTGTCCCAGGCTCTGCAAAACGGTGTGAAAAGTTGTTGCATGTCTGAATTTGCCTCATCGTACACTAGCACTTATATTTATGACCATCAGACTCCGTTGGAGTTCAGTAAATATAACAGCCATTTACAGTGTACAGCCATTCAGTAGCAGCGGTTGGGTCGCAGAATCTCAGCTTGGTGGGAGCAACAGGCCCCAGATCACGAGATGGTGAAAAGCAGCTGACTGACAGAGGCACCCTGTAGACAGGCCTAGTGGGCTACTAAGCTAAAGGCTAAACTTAGGCTAAAGGCTACTGTTACCCTAAAAGACTGGCATTTCCTTCCATATGTCTCTCTAATGTTCGCTCTCTGTACAACAACAATCTGGACTAACATCAAGTCTGTAACTGTTACACAGCAGATGAGTGATTACTGAAAGATGCCTAACCCTGACTGTACATAAAGTTATGTTATCTGGCTTATTTGTGAAATTAATACCTTAGGAAGAATTCTAACCAGTATATCACACAATACTATTGCCCTCCCTCAAAGTACTGCTGTTACAGATTTGCAATGAACATTTTTACTGCTGCTCATCATCCCACATTGCTGACATTGCTGGCTTTAGTTAAGTTCCATGTACCTGAATGTACGTCACAGTTACAGCTGAGATTCAGTGGATGTTTTGATATATCAAAGTACTCATGTAACCCAACAAAACTCTTTTATTTTGGTCAAAAATAATCCAACCACGTCACATTATAGATTCACCAATGTGTTTTTAATATAACAGGAAACCTGACTTATTTCTCACTTTTGTTTTTTTTTTTAATGTTGTGTAAACGCTGTTACAGTTTCAAAACATATTCACTCCCCAGTTCATACAGTACATATACGGAAACCAAGCTGCAAAAACATTGTTTTGATTTCATCATTTTTGTGAGATCATGAAAATCCAATGCATTTACACATATCCTCCTATTCAGCCTACAGCGGTTTAGCCCCCATCCATTCAGAGTGAAGTTATAAGCACTACAGAATACAGAAACCACCAATCAGAACAAAGCTTATTTACATATCAGTCTGAAAGACAAAGTTAAAAAACAGCCTGTTTAATTAAAAGGTAGATAGAGAGATTAGAAATTAGCAATGTAAGAATTAATTATGACTTATTGGGACATGTCACTGGTACAAATGGACTATACGGGTCCTTTAATACAGTGGTTCCCAGCCCTGGTCCTGTGTGTGTTTTCCTGCCAATACACACCCACTTCCTCTCAGGATGGGCTTGTTAATTAGCAGATTAGTTGGAGCAGGTGTGTTAGGCGCAGGGCAAACACTAAAATTTTCAGGGCAGGGGGTCTTTCAGGACCAAGGCTGGGAACCACTGCTTTAATATATTGCGAGGCATATCCAATACATAGAAAGATGATCTTAAAAGTAGTTCATCCATATCTGTCTGCTGCTAACACTACTGTTTTCTTCTCCTCCTGTTTTGTGTTGAACATATAAAGGAAAATAAGGCTGATATGAAAGAAACTCAGAGTGACATTCCAGCTAAGAATGATACTCAAGCAGGGGAGGAAATCAAGGCTACGGTTGTTTTATTTATTTATTTATTTATTTATTTATTTAGTGCACGACCATAACACCTGCTTGGATCTGAATAAAATATAATAAAATGGAATGAAATAAAGAGTGCAAACTTCTATTTTAATCTCATTCGTTCTTTGATGAACGTGACAGCGTGGGTGCAAAGGATGGAGAAAAGAAGCAGAGGTATGATTATTATGCGCACACACTCACACAAAACCATACAGTGTTTAGAGCATAAACAGTACAGCTCCTTCCAATCAGATACAAGAGAATTCAAACCTTCTACAGTTGCTGCTGTGAGGTTGAACAAGCTTTACAGAGCGCTTATGAGAATCCTGTTCAAACTGAAACTGTACACAACTCAGTTTTAGTCAACATACCTACATTCAGAATGGCATTAAATGTTGTATTTTTACCTGACATTATACTGAGAAGTATATGCCATTTATGACACTGTTAATTTTTAACACAAACAAACACAAAGCTTTTTCTTGTTCAAAATCTCAATCTGAAACTGAGACATTCAAAAAATAATAATAAAAGAAAAAATTAAATGGCTAAATGTTTTAACAACATTCATTTTCTGCTTACACTGTAAAAAGTGGCTCATCAGATCTACCTAAAAATTTTACTTCATTTGGTAACAAGCAAACTAACATTTTATTCAACCTAAATAAATACTTTGAATGAACATTTTTTCCAAAATCAATTTAGTTTTCTTTTGTTTTTAAAGTTGAATGAAACTAGTTTAAATGCTTGTTACCACAAAGTAATTTTTTTAGGTAGATCTGATGAGCTATTTTTTGCAGTGTAGATCTGGTCTTCTTTAGAAGAGAAAATATGCAAATTATGCATACTGTTAAAAACGTAACCTTAATTTTGGGCTTTTTAATAAATTAATTTAATTTACTTTAAATAATAAAACTAATACCATGTGTGTTGAAATTAAATATTTATGGAATTAAGGAACATAGCAGTAAATGTTGCAGCCGTAGTTTGCTATTTTCTTTAATTCAGCCAAAAAAATATATTTTAGGTAGCAAGAAATAAAGAACGGTTGCTTAGCCCGATGCTTTCTTACCTGATGTCATTTCGCCTGCTGTACGAGAACCGAGACGTGACTTTGTATGTTTTTTAGGCTGTTTTCCTGTTTTAGGCTGAATCTGGCTGCAGCACTGAGAGTGTTCAACCAGCGCAGCTCAACAGCTCAAGGCACCTCTAGAACAATCTCATCTATGCTAATGTAGTATTAGTGTATGATGTCAACTTATCGAACATGTTTAAAAGTCCAACTTACTTTCATGTGTAGGAGCAGTAGTGTTTCCAGCTGTAACCCGCTTGCTAAAATGTCTAAATTATCCACTCAACTGACAACCGTTCCATGTGGAATTTCGCACTGAAAACTCTCTGCAGAGTTTTGTAGTTGCAACTTCATGACCTTTCATAAAATAATGAAGAATTGGCAGCAATAGTTTTTCAGTGACGGGCCACCGCTGCAAATTATATACAGTGGAAACACTGAACACTAGAGTCTTCCTATGGTTTGTATGAAATAAGTCAATAACTAAGCATTTTTAAACCAATAGTAAATGAGTTTTTACCGTCACTGGGGGCTGTCACCATGGTAACTCTGTTAACCGTCACCAGGCCTGGTAAAAGTTCACACAGGATGGATAAAATAAAATTTTTTATGTCATGTAATCGAGAAAAAGTTGGG